CCCCGCTGTCTCGCTGGCAGCGGTTCAAGTGAAGGAACATGACATTCCTGCGATGGAGGGCTGGGAGAGGCAGCCTTGTCCGTGACAGAGTGCCCGCGTCCCCCACGGCCATGGATCGTGCCCAGACACAGTGACAGCCGCAGCATTCCCGCTGCGCTCCGGCCGTGCCCCGGAGCCCTGCCCAGCAGTTGTTGTAACTCAGTCCGTGGCATCTTGCAGGACAATGGAATGAATCCAGGTCTCTGGAATGCACTAGGAAATCTCTGTAGAAGATGAACCTCTTGATTTTTTTTTTTTTTTTTTTTTTTTTTTTTTTTTTTTTTTTTTTTTAACTGGTGGTTTTCTCCAGCATCATTGGAGCTGCTGACTGGAAATGCCACGAGCCTTTTGGAGCTTGTGGTCAAGCCTGTGTGAAAGCCTGTGCCATAAACCGTGGTTTGAACCTCATGGCAGCTTCCTCCAGGAAGCACATGCCTAACAAGGTTTATTTGCAGACACTTTCAGATTCTTATCTTTGCAGCTGATGCTTGCAGGATCATTTTCCTSCAGCACTGCTTGCTTGGAAGTCAGGTGGACTTACCTATCTGAAAAAGTGCTCTTGAGAGGCCAGGATGAATGTCAGGCATGTGCATAGTGTTCCTGTTATCAAGTGCTTTCCTGAACTGGGACCCACGATTTAAAATATTTTAACTATTCCAAGWATTCCCTATTTCAAATACAAGAAGTGAATCAGAAGAGGTTGTGGGACTTCACAGCAGCACTGCTCAGGCAGCTGTGAGAGCTCTGGGGGAGGAGAAGGAATCCCAGTAATTGCGATACCTGCAGGACGGGGAGGACAAGCTGTGGGGGAAAAAAATCAGGCACACCATCCATCTGGAGAGAGGGATGTGTTTTTAAAAACAAAAGACATTATGGAGCAATGCATTAGCAGTTACCAGCCTTTAATGTATGAGGAACAACAGAGGCAGGACCAGGATGGGGTGCCTGGGGGCAGAGGGACAGACAGACCTGCAGGTGCAGGGAGGGATGGGTGCAGGAAGAGAGGTTGCTACAGGAGCCTGCTAAAGCTGTCCATGACAGCAGCCATGCACATCTTTGTTTACAACAAGACATAAGCACGAGGGAGCACTGTGAAAACTGCTGACCTACATGTATGAATTCTTTAGTGGGTCAAACACAGTGCCAACAACAACAGTGATGTTAAATGATTACTGCTGTTGTTTGTCTTGCAATTATTCATTCTTCCTTTGCCTTATTAATAATACAAATGAGATTATGTGCCCAGAGCGTGCTTTGCACAGTSAGAAAAGACCTGATCTAAAGATGTCCCAGCCTTGCCCACATGTCAAGGCACGAGTTTTCTGACTGGCTATGGACTCAAAGAGTTACTTCCACAACACTGCACACATAGGACAGTTAGTTTCTTGTCCCAGCTTAGAAATGGTAACTAGGAAATGCTTAATTCCTCATAAAGTACAGGCACAAGTTGTAACCTTAAATAACAATAAGAGAGTGAGCAAAGCATAAAATTTTTCACCTGTGGACAGATATTCATCATGGATCAGGTTTCTTTCAGTTAAGAGAAACTATTTGTTGACGTAAAGTTGAAGCTGATGCAAGGAAAAGTAATATGCTTAAAGATAAGAACAGATTACTTAACTTCACTACTCATATGCAAATATAACTTCAGTCTAAATCTTGAAAAGCAAAAAGCCCAAATCTAAGAAAGGGATATAGTTTGAAAGCAGAGAAGCTAGGATGATCAGCAAAAAGGCATTACTGTTTCTTTTAACATCTCTGGCATTCTCATGTACTGTTTTATTTTATTTTAAAGTATACAGACCACAGTAAGTTAATATGCCAATGTTCCAGTTAAAGTTTGGGTTCTCTTTATACAATACATTAAAGCACATTTGATTTAAATTCAATGGCACTGTCATACTTGGAATTCATTATATTGTATCGAATGTGATTTTGGATAGTGTTACCCACTGAAWGTGAATACCAAAAAAATAACCTGTTTTTATTTTTTTCTTTTGGTTTTGCCCAAACAGTCCATCTAGGACTGGGTTGCTAGGCTAAAGGTAAAATAATTTTTTTTAAATTGCATTTCAAAAAGCAAATACACATTTCAGTCATATGATATGAAAATTATCCAGCCTATATAACTCCTACTGCTTACTTTCAAAAAAATMCCTTGTTCTGAAGTCAGTCCAGTGGCTATTAGAAGTAGTCACTGATGTAAATTCCATCTTGTTTATGAAAACATTTTGAACAAAGCATTGATTGTCCAGGGTTCATAAAAAAAAGTTAAAATCTATAAAATGTTGGCATCGCTACTATTCAGGGCATGAGAACGACATGCATAAAAACCATGGTTTGCTGGCACAGGCTTTTCTACTCAGAAAGACAGCTTTGCTGAAAACATACTGTAATTCCCCTCTTTTATAGATTTCTTTCGAAAGTATTCTGAATCAGGGAATAATCAGAAGGAAATCATAGTCTGCTGTAGGAATCAAGGGAACATCAAGTTTTTTATGGCATGGGTTAACTATCRTAAAGGGAAAACCTAGGCAGAGTTTGGGGAAATTAGGGTGGATGGAAAGGCCTTGGTGTGAAGCTTTGGGAGGGAAGGTCATCTGTGTGCCCCTCCGTGCAAYCTCACCCACATCTCTGTTAGCCCTGGGGACAGTAATTGCTCAATTTTTTTAGGAAAGGGCACTACTGTCACAGTTTAGGAGAGATACTGTACTTGTATTGCTCCAGTTCTAGACAACTAAATTGTCACTGAAGTTACACCAGAGTAAAACAAGAGAAACAGCAGTGAACCAGCCTAAGAAGCCTCATAGATAATTCTTTCCTGTTTCCTTTCCAGTAGCAAAATTATTGGCAGCCACCAGAGATCAATGCTGTAGTTAATGTAGAAGTGCTGCACTGAAGAGCAAACACTMCAGCAATCCAAGCAATTTTCTGTTAAGTCATTCTACTGGACTGCAGGGCTTGTGGGTGGGATTCTCCCAAGTGAAAAATACAGCAATGCCACAAGTCTAAGTCCTTACTATTTCTTGGAATTTTAGTAATAGCCATAAATTTTGTTGTTGGCACCTGAATCTTTAGAAGCACTAAGCAAATTAAACAATCAAGCCTCAATCCTGCAGCTCTTCTCCTCATATGATGCTTATTAAAATACATGTGGTTAAGTGCTTCATGAATGGATTCCAGAATTTTCAAGCAGAAATGCCTAAAATCAGGTTCAAAAATCCACGTCTAATTTTTTTTAACAAGGTTATGCTAATTTTCCAATTTTCTTGAGCTTCTGAAGATTGCAAATGCTGGAGCTTTTGAAAGAAAAAAAAAAAGCAAAATTTTATGCAGGTCTCTAATCTGAGTTAGCATGTGCATTAAGACCATGTTCTAGAATTTTCTAGAATTCTCCATTGTAGGTGTCAGGACACGTCTGTGAAGTCTGTGAAGGCCAAAGGAAGCATAGTCTGRCAACCCTGATGTGTTCTGGGTTGATCCTAGTTCTCTAGAGCTGGAATWCTGCAGGAGAGCAAATTATGATGCTGTACATGTGGCTAATGAGGATTGCCTTCTATTCTGTCAAGTTCAGATATTTGACCCACAGACTTGTGGGATATTCCCACTGGAAGTCCTCTATTTCCATTCAACTTAACAAAGTGATCACTGGGGCATAATTCTTTCAAAACTTTGCCCATACTATATAATTTCATCTTCAAAAAAAAGTCAGGAAAAAAGTAAATGTTGGAGATCAGAAAACTATGAGGAGTGACCAGCAAAATCTCAGTCACATTAACAAGAGCTTGCATGCATGACTGAGTCGTGCCACKTTGTCTGCACACACAGCATGTAACATCCAGAAATGTGTTCCAACCCAAGGAGTCTCCATTTAAAACAGACAATGAGTTGCACAGATCTTCTTGTCAATTGTTTTCTCTTGTTTTTGAGCATGTTTTTAAGCCAGAGGATCTGTTTATGAGAGCCAAAACTATGTATAGTAATGGCAGTTGTAAAACTGAGTGTGAGGGAGCTAGACAGCCTGATGGCTTGGAAAAAATGAGCATGGAGACAGGAAAGAGACATGGTTATTGGGACAAGGACTTGTGCATGTGTTGGAATAGCTGGTGCATTAGGGAATAATGTAGTTCAGCTACACTGTCCTCTACTGGCAAAGCCTGGATCTCTGAAAACGTRTTCTAATTCATGCTGTTATCATTCCTTGGTGCCCAATTTAATGCATTTTGAAAGAATAATACTTTCAGGCAGCCCATCTCCTTCACCTCATCTCTGTCTGCCCTCAGGACTTTGAAAAACTAAGAAAAGAGAGTCTTTGTGACTGTCAAAACTTTATGATGTTTACTCTCCTGGTCTTAAGAACTTTGTCAGAAGCAAGGAAGAGTTTCAATACRGGGAATTTCAATCAATTTCATTTATTGTGAATTAACAAACTTTAATTACTGATTCTGATATTTTAAAGAATGAAACAACTCAGGGAAAAACACTTCAGATGCTCTCTCTACACCTCTCCTTCCGTTTTTCTGGTCTCTAATCCCTCCAAACACTTACTGTGGGCAAAGGGCTCAGTCTCTTTGGAAAGTTGGGGGCTGATAGGGAGACAGGGGTCAGCAGATCATCTCTGCTTTTTTTTTTTTTTTCCAAAGATATCAGAAATATTCTTATCCAGAAATGTAAAGGCTTTTGGTGAAGGACAAAAACCCTCAGAGTGGAGAAAATTTACAACTAGAATTTGGCCAGATTATAATGCCTGCCCATGGCTAGTAGAGAGAGCTAGATGACATTTAAGGTCCCTTCCAACCTCAACCATTCTGTGATGGTAGGAATCTAAATCAAGGCAGGCCTTTCCATTGGCCTGTGCACGTCTCTTGCCGTGCTGCTCCGGAGGGTTTTGGCTTGCAAGCTGATTGCTCTATGCTCTGTGTGGAGCCTGCAGGCACCAACAACCTSTGTGCTGCTTTCAGGTTCTGGACGACAGCTGAGACCGGCTGAGGCCCCGGGAGATGCTGATGCCGATGCGGATGCAGAAGATGAAGATTCTGTGAGTTTTTTGGAGTTGAATTTTTTTGTTATGACAGTTTGGCATAATGGGATCTCAAATATTTTGTTTATAGCTGGATCTTGCTGGTGATTTGCCTCCCCATTAAAAATGTTGTATTTTAGCTTGGGATTGTCCTGCCAGCTTAAAAACCAGAAAGAAGTTTCATTTTGAAGGCATCTGCTCTTTGCCATGGTTCATTGGCATAAGTTTACTACCAAGACTTAGCAAGCTATTACTTGGTTGTTACTACAGTAACTTTTCTTTAAAGGTTTAGACAGTTTAGGTTCCCTATTGTCTGACTGCAAAGGAAGCATGCCAAGTGCTTGTCAGCAGAAATTCTTGCTGGGATTTTCCCATGGTTTGCTTGCTTATAGACAGCAACAAAGTTTGAAGCTCCTGTAAGCAAAGTTTGGGTGTACGAATAGAGCAGGGACAGGATTTCTTTTTTTTTTTTTTTAACTTTCTCAATTATTACTAATTGATCTGTCTAATTTCAGTCCGTTCAGTCTGTAGATGTATACAATACATAAAGAAAACCGACATTAGCATACCATTGTTTTTGTCTCTCAGAACTCTGTCCCTCGTGGTTTTGAGTGCTTTAACAGGACCATTTTATTAGTTCTTGACATAAAACAAGGGTTATTGGTTATTTTTTATCCACCATTACTAATGAAATATTTTTACTCAGAAGRGCACTGTATATAACTAGAGAAACTCCCATAAAAATGGGCCACTGTTTAATGGTGGATGTTCCTTTACCACTGCTCATGTCTTTTCTACAGGTTAATGAAGTGGCCGTAGAAGACATTCGTCCAAGGCCACAAGGATCCTCTCCAGTTTATGAATATCCCATAGAAGAAGACTATTTAAAGGCAAGGCATTGAATTTTCATGCAGTCATGGCTTTATCAAGTTGATTCAAGAGGCTTTAGCTCCCACAAGTAGCAGAGTCATATGTCATAGAACAGGATATTGTTGCAGCCATATTGTCTTTCTGTCCCTACCAAAATTGCATCTATGTTCATTTACGGTTTTATTCTGTGCTGGACTTTCTGGCCATGTTCTTGTTTCTTGGCAAGAAAATGCATTTTACTTARTTCCATGAAGGACGCAAGGCAGAGAGCATAAAGAAATTACATTCTTCTTCCAGTTAGAATACATAACTGGCTTGAATCTAACTAACAGTATTTCAAAATCATCTGTACCTCTTGGTTATTCAGTTAGAGATTTAATTAGTTCAGCCCTGTTAAGGTAAGTAGGCAACAGTTGGAAATTCATGCTGAAGTTGAGTAAGTACAAAAAGTGTATATTTCCAAAATTGAAAGCATGGACAATGTGCTACATGAAGACACAGAAAAGCTCACAGTGTCTTAAGGCATTTGGTCTCTGACATTCATTGAATGCAAATTTTGGTACAATGAAGGGAGGCCTTGGCATCTAATTTACTACTGAGAATAGTACAGTTAAATGATTCACTTTGTACATAGCGCTTGATCCTGATTTTGCTCTGTTGCCATTAAAGTGAGCCTCAGTTCTTAGTCTAAACCAGGAATCTTAACTGACTTTCRTTGTACTTAAGAATACCATGACTTCTGAACATTAAATTATTGAAAATTATTTTTCAGCTTGAAGAAGAAAACAAAAAAGTTTCTACAGACAAATCAAAACAGAGTCATCCACAGGTCAGTCTAAAAGCACTCCATAGTTTTAGGTATGAGCCTTGTAAATAGTAAAGTTTGTTCTAACACACAGACATGAATAGGTGGACTGAAGGAAGAAGGACAAATGGGCAAAGAATCACTCTGGACTTGTTTTGACCATGAACTTCATGAATGGCTGAGTTATGGCACAGGCATGAACATTTATTTGTCCTAATCGGGGTCCTTCCATAATTCTTTTTAGAATTCTTTCTTTCACCTTCTGTGATTTGAGTACAGCACAGCAGAGCTCTCAATCTGACTTTTCTGGCCCATTGACTTTAACTGGAGTGGTTAACATCTTCACAGAAAATACAGCCTTTCAGCCCTAAAAGTTTCCATATGTTTCATATTTTAAAATTATAACCTATTTTCCCTATGGCCCTGATCCAGTATAACCATAACACACGTGCTTAATTCTAATTTAGAACAGAATCAAACCCACACTGAGTAAGTATATTCTTTATTYTGGATAATCTTTCTTGAGCTATAGAAAATATACCTGAGGAGACTAATTTTTTCATTGTAGAACGATGCAGAACCCTTTAATACAAATTAATAAAAACAATAAATTCACATCTTTTTCTATCTCTAGGAGACAATGGAAGTGACCCTGAAAACAGAAGTGGAAGCTGGTGCTAGTGGTTTTAGTGTGAAAGGTGGAGGAAATGAAGGAATATTTATTAAAAAAGTGCTTAAGGAATCTCCTGCTTCAAAAATATTTAGTCTTAGAGAAGGTACAGTTTGAATTTTTATTTTGTTTTGATTTTATACTGTATCTTTAAATAATGAGATTTGTAGCTGTGTGATCTGCCATCTCTTTAGGTATCAGACATTAAGTAGATTTCAAACCAGTTAATGTTATCTSTGCGCCTAACCTGTCTATATTGATAATTTCTAAGACCACTCTCTTGAACAATAATGAAATGTGATTTTTTTTTTTTTGTATACCATAAAAAAACCTAGTTTTCACTGGAACAGTGAAAAAGATGCATAGAAAGTTATATACACAAAACTGAAATTAAAAAAAAAAATTGAAAAAACTACCTGAAAACACAAAGTAATTAAAATAACGAGTGGTTCCACTTGCAGGTGATCAGCTTCTAAGTGCTACAGTATTTTTTGATAATATCAAATATGAAGATGCACTCAAGATTCTCCAATATTCCGAGCCATACAGAGTCCAATTCAGCCTCAAAAGAAAAATTGCCGTGCAAGAAGATCTAGAGCATTCTTCAGCCCAGCACAAAAAGGAAAGAATAGGCCAGGTAGGTTCTTGTTTGATTTGCAAAATTTGGATAACATAYTGTAATAATGTGCTGTGTGGAAATAGATCAGAAAACGCACACTTGTGTCTTTTTAAGACTTGGGCATATGTTTAAAGTCACTAGCATGAATATTCATGATTWAAAAAAAATCCCACACAATCTTTGCAGCTTTTTAAGTATTTTGAGTGGGATTGTGTAGTTTACATATATCCACAATCTTATGTTAGGGTATACGAATATTTTTTAGTGAGTCAGCATTTTGTTATTCTTAATCRTCCACTGATAGAACAGACTTGGGTAATCTCTGTGTTCAGTATATTCAAAAATGTAAAATATCAGTGTTTTTCTCCAAAGCTCCTCTATAAGATTTTCTATTAAAAAATAYGTGTTTAACCACTGATATTTTTATAGACTTATGATTTCTTCATGGGTTTTCAYCAACTTAAAGATTATTTTTTCGTCATATACATATATATACAAATAGTATATATCATATATATTTGACAGACATATATAAATATACACTCTATTTACTGCAATGTTTTGCAAAGAATTAAAATCTGCAGAAATCCATATATTACAATCCATTTGTTTATTATAATTTCTGCCTAACATTATATATTTACATAATCTTCAGGAATTTTTTTATATAACAAGTAGATACTAGTAATAAAAAGAACATTTTTCTACATATTTTATAGTATGTTTTTTAGTTTCTGTTGCACCTATATTTAGGTTACTTCTAATCTTCTGTCTACTAATTGTTCTTTTAGGAAAAAGAACTCAGTGAGAGCATTCCTGAAGAAACACTTCATGTTTCAGGAAAAGCTATATCAGAAGAAGACAGGGAAACATTAATTGGAAGCCAAAGGGTAGGAAGAAGTAAGAGACCTAAAAAAGATAGACTATCATGGCCGAAATTTCAGTCAATCAAAAATAAAAAGATATTGAGGCACAGAAGATCTCATAGTACATCAGATGCATATGAGCCCGCTATGCAGGATATTTCCCCTACAAGCACGGACACGGAGTCTCAATTTCCACAGGAAGTCCATACCAAAGAGAAAAAAGGAAGCCAAAGGAAGCTGAAGTTCCCTAACATTGGATTCAGAATGCATAGGTCCAAAGCAGAGCCACAAGAGAAACAAAAAAAAGAAATAAAAACTATGCTGATCTCTGAAAAAGAAAAAATACATAAAGATGATATAAGCTTGGAAAATCCCGAAATCTTAACTGTTGAATATACCACATCTGCTTATGAAATGAAAACAGGGGAGGTACATRAAACTTTAACAAAAGACTTAAAAGATATGAAAAATGGCATTCCATCTCATGTAAAGCAATGCCCTGAAGTTGAAATAAACATTAAAGAAAAAGACAAGGAAGCAACATCAAAATTTAGTGTACCTGAAGTACCAGACATAACAACAGARATACCAAAGCCCAGCTTAGAAACAGCTGATCTGAAAGTAAGCCCAACTAAAAAATCACCACAAGCCTCATCAAAATCCCGAAAAAAGAAACAGAAAGGAACAAGAGATAAAAAAGAAGGAGAAAGTAGAATTGACATAGACTTGATGGGTCACACAGCTAAAGGATCTGTACAGGTAAAAGGCCTAGAAATAGGCACAGCTAAAGCAGAATTACAGACATCTGAAACACAGGAAATGGAAGGAAAAAGAGCAGAAGACACACAGATAATAAATATTCAGAAAATAAATTATGGAGTTTCCATGCCCACAAGAAAAGAGACAGAGACTGACACAACCAAACAAGGAAGTGAAGATCCACAAACAGTTGATTTGACTTCAGAGGACAGCAGAAATTTTGGTGGGAAAACTCACTTGCCAGATGCAGAATTAGAAGTATCTACTTGGAAAATACAGATGCCATCATTCAAAATGGGTAAAACACTTAAAACTGACACAAAAATAAAAAGAGAAGGAAGCAGAGAAGACACAGATGATAGTATGAAAAAGGAACACATAGAGGTAGATGAAATGCTTACAGATGAAAAAGGCTTAAATGTAGAAATTGACATGAAGAGAGGAGAAAAAGATATGGAGGGAAAAGAAAGCAAATTCAGACTGCCAAAATTAAAATTCCCTACATTTACATGGTCAACAACAAAGGAAGAAACAGGGCAAACTGAAACACAGATAAATGAAAGGGAAGAAAAAGTACAAATTCGAGAAGAAGCAGGAGGACTTGAGGTATGTGCAAAAGCAGAAGAAATAAAAGATCCAAGTGCTGAAATTGAAATAGAGATATCCAAAGAAAAATTAAAGGAAAATGATATAAAGCAAAAAGCAAAAATCGAGCTACAAAGTCCGAAAAAAATAACAATAGAACCTGCCTCAATGGAAATTAACATTGAAGAAAGACAAAAAAAATCATTGATTTCAAAAATAGATGTGGAAGCAGAAAGCATTGAATTCAGTCAAAAATCGAAAGAGAAGCAGAAGATATCAGTAACCACAGACTTTGAAAACAAAGCTCCCAAGGTGGACATCAGCCTGCCCTCTGTYGACATCACCCTTCCGCAGGCCAGCGTCGACCTGCAGGCACCCGAAGCCGCCCTCGGCGTGGAAGGGGAAATCAAAGGCCCAGAGAAGGAGGCCGCCAAGACCAAAGACGGCAAGTTCAAGATGCCCAAGTTCGGCATGCCTTCCTTTGGCTGGTCCAGCAGCAGAGAGGCCAAGGGCTCTGTGGCCGCCGAGGTTGACATCAGCCTCAAGGAGCCCCAAGTGACGGTGCCATCGGCAGCCGCCGAAGTGGACGTCAGCCTGCCCGCGGCCGAGATCCAAGTGCCCGGCGTGGAG